TAAGGGTGTCCTTCTCTCACCGACCATCTATCTGAGGAACATTTCACTCACATCCACTGTAAGGGGGCAATGGATTGACCACCAATGCAAGGAGCATTCTTCCTAAAGACCATCACTGTAATGGGGTCTTTCTTAGGGTTTCCACCTCATCCCTTTAAAACCAAAACATATTAATTGCAGGTTCTGTGTGGCTGCTTAAGGTGGTAATTAAACTCACTTAGTGCCTTATCTGCATTAAAATAGTCTCAGAACCTGTGTAATTAATATGTGTTCGGGTTTTAAAGGGGATGAGGTGGCAACCCTTTCTCCACTGCCCATCAACTAAGGGTGTCCTTCTCCCATTGACTACTAATCTAAAGGGGCACTTCTTTACTGACCACCAATTAAATTGAGCATTTCACTCTCATCCAATGAGGGCACTACACTGATCAGCAATTAAAGGGTATCCTTCTCCTATCGAATACCAGTCTAAGGAGCATTAAGTTCTCCAGTACATTGGCCTGGGGACAGTAGGGGGCCCCATGAGATGCCCCTGGTACCTTTTTCATAGGCTTTTGTGAGTTTTGGCAAGGACACAGGGGCCCCATGATCCCCTATTGCCTGGGGGCCCCATGAGTTGTCAGTCCGCCCCTGCTTAAAGCTTTAGCTGTTCTAGTCAGGTCTTCATGTAGCAGGAATAATTGTTCATAGGCATCTCTACCATGAGTGATGATTGAAGGTTGACTCTGCTCAAGGGACTGGGTGTGGAAAAATGGAAAAAGCATACCATATAAAGCCTAGATTTAATTTTATTCAGACTCTATCATCATAAAAACCCAAAATGTTTCCAGGGTTCAAAGTGTCCCCTTTCTTCAGGGCTTCTTTCCACTGTAGTGGACTAATAACACTGGAGGGTTGTAGAGGGGTATTAGTCAGCATTCACTTCCATGAAAGGGCAGTCTGGTTGACCCTCAACAACCATTTGGTACCAACTGCTATTCTACTGGAATCGTAGCTGGAATCCAAATGTTTGTTGTGCTGTAAAAACAGACTGGCCTTATCTCAAGGAAGTGAATATTGATTGATTACCCCTCAGAATCGCTAACGTTTTATACATCAGCTTATTATTATGATGCAATAAAATTAAATCCTGACATTATATGTTCTGCTTTTCTTCACACACTCAGCCACCAGTGTAAGGAGGCACTACAATAACCAATTGTTTATGGAGACACTGCACCGACCACTGGTGTAAATGGGCACTTCACTAGTCACCAGTGTTAGTGGGCAGTTTTCCATCATCAGTGTAAAGGTGCAAATTTCCACTGACCACCACAGCAGAGTTGAGCAAAACACTACCATTTTCATAGTCTGCATTTTGTTTCTGGACACTAATTATTATTATTTGTTTCCTTATGACTGTCCTGTATGTTATTTCCTTTTTCTTTAATTTACCACTTCTCCCTTGCAGAACTGGGGGCTGTGGTTCAAACCCCCCTCTCCCCTCTGCCAAACAGGAAACTATCTCCATGGAGTTTGCATGTTCTTGCATTTCTTTCCTCTGACTAACCTGATTTCCTCTCACGCTCCAAAGAGATGCTGGTGGGTTGATGGGCTCTTGTATAAATTGGCCCTTGTATGTGTATAAAATTATAAAATGCAGCGCTAGCGCTGCATTTTTTTCACTTTATATTGTAATATTGCCTTTATATGTGCTAGCTGCTTTTATTCTGTTTTAATATTTTTTTTTTTGTGGTTTAATATCTGAGCGCAAGTGTAGGTATAGGCTTGTTTGTGTATGTTTGCTTTTTGTTTGTTTGTTTTGGAGTTTGTTTTTTTGGTTAACTGGTTGTCTGAGTATAGATCTGTGCTTGTCCCAAGCATGTTTGAAGCTATTTACTGTTGATGGCTCACTACCTCTAATGGAAGTTTATTCCAAGCATCAACTACTCTTTCAGTAAAATAGTACTGAGATTAGTTTTGAACTTTCCTCCAGTTAGAGACTGTATGTCAGATGAGGTCATTAGAAGGCTCCTTGAAGGCAGGGGCTGATGTGGATGTACAGAATGTAAAAGCACTGCACAGATTGTTATTGCCATATTATTATTATACAGTATTTATAAAGCGCCGATAGTTCGCTCAGCGCTGTACATTACAAAGGGGGACAGAACATGTGACAGAATACCAATACAATGCAAAACATGAGGGGATTGAGGGCCCTGCTCTTTCGAGCTTACAATCTAGGAGGGAGGGGATGGTGGTACAGGAGGAGATAGCTGTGGGGGATGGAGTGGTGGTAGGAGAGTGGAGGAGGTCGGCAAGTTAGCAGGGGGTGGGGTAGGCTTCTCTGAAGAGGTGGGTTTTCAGGGTGCGCCTAAAGGAGAGGAGAGCAGGTGATAATCTGATGGGTTGGGGCAGGGAGTTCCAGAGGATGGGTGACACCCTGGAGAAGTCCTGGAGGCAGGCATGGGAGGAGGAGACCAGGGAACTAGAGAGAAGGAGGTTTTGTGAGGAGCGGAGTGTGCGTGTTGGGTGGTACTTGGATATTAGGTCAGTGATGTAGTTCGGGGCAGTATGGTGGACGGCTTTGTACGTCAATGTTAGGATTTTGAATTTGATCCGTTGCACAATCGGAAGCCAGTGGAGGGATTGGCAGAGGGGGGATGTCGCTCAGTAGGTGTGTGATTCGGGCGGGCGGAAGACTGAGGTGGTGAGGTGGGGGGTTGAGAGATAGATTTGTGTGTCGTCGGCATATAGGTGGTAGTTGAAGCCGTGAGAGTGTATGAGTTGGCCAAGGGAGGAGGTGTAGATGGAGAAGAGAAGGGGCCCGAGGACGGAGCCTTGAGGGACCCCAACAGAGAGGGGGAGTGAGGGGGAGGTGGTAGCATTATAGGTAATGCTGAAGGAGCGTTGTGACAGCTAGGATGAGAGCCAGGAGAGAGCAGAATCTCTTAGGCCAAGGGAGTGTAGTTTTTTGAGGAGGAGGGGGGTGGTCAACTGTGTCGAAGGCCGCAGAGAGGTCAAGGAGCAGGAGCACTGAATAGTGGCCATTAGCTTTGTCGGTTAGCAGGTCGTTGGAGAGTTTAAGTAAGGCAGTTTCGGTGGAGTGTAGGGGACGGAAGCCGGACCGTAGGGGATCGAGGAGGTTGTTGTCGTTGAGGTGAGAGCTTAGGCGGGTGTAGACTAGGCGCTCGAGAAGTTTGGATGTAAATAGGAGCAGGGAGATGAGTCTGAGGTTGTTCGGGTCATTGGGGTCCAGGGAGGGCTTTTTAAGTATGGGGGTGATGTGTGCATGTTTCAGAGGGAAGGGGAAAGTGCCGGAGGAGAGGGAGAGATTAAAGATGTGGGTGAGGGAGCGTAGGATGGAGGGGGAGGGAGGTCGTAGGAGTTGTGAGGGGATAGAGTCGAGGGGGCAAGTGATGAGGCGGGCATCAGAGAGGATCTTGGAGACTTCCTCGATGGTAGTAAGGTCAAAGGTGCGGAGTGTTGGGGGGGCTTCAGTATGAGGAATATAGGGTGGGGTGGAAGTGGAGGTCAGAGCAGTGGTGGGGCCGTGGGAGAGGGGTGATGAGGGGGTAGCTGAGTGAGGGGGAAGTAGTAGTAGTTTGACATTTCGAGGCGTAGGCGTTGGAGGACGAGGAGATAGAGAAGGTAATGAGGTTGTGGTCAGAGAGAGGGAAGGGGGTGTTTAGTGAGTTTGTGGGGAGTGCAGCGGTTGGAGAAGACAAGAGCAAGGATATTACCGTCGGAGTGGGTGGTGGATTGTATGCACTGTGCAAGTGCAAAGGAGGAGGTTAAGTGGAGGAGATGGGATGTGGCCGGGTTGTCGAGGTTGACAAGGATGTTGAAATCCCCAAGGATGATGGTGGGTAGCTCAGAAGAGAGGAAAAAAAACGGTAGCCAGGAGGAAAAGTCATCCAGAAAGTGGGATATGGATCCAGGAGGCCGGTATATCACAGCAATCTTCAGGGGGGTTGGGGAGAATAGTCAGAAGCAGTGGGCCTCGAAGGAGGAGAAGGATAGAGAGGGGGGTTTTGGGAGGACTCGGAAGGTGCTCTGCGGTGACAGGAGCAGACCAACCCCACCACCTTCACGACCGTTAAGCCTGGGTGAGTGGGTCCAGGTGAGACCTCCGTAGGAGAGTGCAGCAGGGGAGGTAGAGTCAGTGGCCTGGATCCAGGTTTCCGTAATCGCTAGGAGGTTGAGGGAACGGGAAACAAAGAGGTCGTGGATGGCGGTAAGCTTGTTGTACACCGATCGCGCGTTCAGGAGTGCACATGAAAACAGGGGGGAGATTTTAGGGAGCAGGGGGACAGATACTAAGTTGCGGGGGGGGTTGCGGCAGGACGTGGAGGCGGGAGGGTGTTGTGTGGGTGAGGGAGGAGGTGGAGGGCCATATAAATAACTGTAATAATAATAATAATAATAACCTCATGGCACCGGCGTCTGGGCCTTGACGTTGAGCGGCCGCACATTTGCGTGCAATTAAGAAAAACATATGTGTTGAGAGCGCGCACCCTGCACACATGTTCAGTACTCATGGAAAGGTCCCGATCTCCTCTTTCGATCGGGACCTTTCCAATCATGTGCGGTCACATAACCCTAAAATCCTGCCCCGCCTTCCGGCTTCTGAAATCCATAAAGGGCAAGGAGGCGCTGGCGCCAAGGGGTTAATATGTTAACAGGTTTATGGTCAGATCACCAGGTGAAAATAAAGGCAAAAAATCCTTAAAAAAAAAAAAAAAAAAAAAATGAATGCAGCCACCACATTTAAGGATTGCTAAGCTGCAAAATAAAACATTATTGTTATTGGCTTTAATACTGTTCTATTGAGCATACATGCATCTAAATTAATACAGTGGTTTCACCTACAAGTAATCTCCAGCTGTGAAAAAAAAGATCGTCGGTACACTTTCATAATACTGAGCTATATGCCCTTCCTATTTTTTTTTTTTGTTATTATTGTCAAACGCCCCCTTAGCAAAGGCAAATATAGCAATGAAGATATATGTCACTGCAGGGGGGCGGACTGACCATTTGGAAACTTGGGCACTGCCCGAGGGCCCGGGGTCAGTAGGGGTCCCCAAGAGATGCCCCTAGTACCCTTTTTCATAGGCGTTTTTGAGTGTGGGCAAGGACACAGGGGCCCCATGATCCCCTATTGCCCGGGGGCCCCATGAGTTGTCAGTCCACCCATGTGTCACTGTATACTCCTGCTCTGATATACAGTAAGAAGAAATCTGTATTTCTAATTTTTGCTTTAAGTAGTTCAGAGAGTGAAGAGTAGTTTTCAGTTCTCACCTTTCCAGCACCATCACCAGGTATATGTACATATGTCTAGAAATACTACGCTTCTATGTAACCCAGCAACACTATGCAATAACAATCAATCTGTGTCTATTGTTTGGTAACTTAGGGTTGCCACCTCATCCCTTTAAAACCGAACACATAATAATGACACAGGTTCTGAGGCTGATTAAGGTGGTAATTAAAGCGGAGTTCCACTCACCCTTTCAAAAAATAAAAGTCAGCAGCTACAAAAACTGTTTTTTGTGACTGTTTTGTCACTAATTATTTCTATCACAAGGGATGCATGCATTTCTTGTGATAAGAATAAAAGTGATTACAATTTTTTTTAAAGGGACAGTGAAAAAAAACCCAAAAAACTTTCAAGAAATTTTTTTTTAAAAGTTTGAAACGTGCCCCCGCCCCCCCCCCCCCCATGCTCGCACGTAGTGGTGAACACATACATAGGTCATGTAAACGGTGTTCAAACCACACACGTGAGGTATCGCCACAAATGTCAGAGCAAAAGCAATAATTTTCGCACTAGACCTCCTCTGTAAATTTACACTGCCAACCTGTAGAAATTTTTAAAGCATCACTCATGAAGATTTTTAAGTACTGCAGTTTCACGCCATTCCATGAGCATGCGCAATTTTAAAGCGTGACATGTTGGATATCTATTTACTTGTCATAAAATCCTCTTTCATATTTTACAAAAAAATTGTGGTAGTGTATATATATATATTTTTTTTTAATCAAAGTGTATTTTTTTTTCAAAAAAATATATATTCATTTTTAACCATTTGCCGCCCGCCCTATGGCTGAATGTCATCAGCGTTCGGGTGGACGCCATATGGTGTCCTCCCGCACATGCGCAGATTGCGCTCCTGCAGAGCCGTGCAGTGGCGCGATCTGTCACTGGCCGTGTACCTCAGACACGGCCGATGACAGATCTGAGTACCGGCCCCCGTTACCGGTACCATGTGACCTGCTGTGACCAATCACAGCAGGTCACATCACAGTTGTATACAATGGATGGCTTCATTCATGCCATCCATTGTATACTAGTGTCTAGCTGTGAATGGTCACTGCTAATCACATGCACATGTCATGTGATTAGCTGTGGCCAAATCACAGCTAAGCACAAAAAAAAAAAAAAAAAAAAAACCCCTGAATAAATCGATGTCATTCAGGTAAATGCTTGCTTATAGCAAAGTAATTCTTTGCTATAAGCAAATTGTGTAAAAAAAAAAAAAAAAAAATACTGATCACTTCCCCAAAGTAGTACAATGTTACTATGGTAACATTCTACTACTTTGGTCATAGTGAAGTATGAAAAAAAATCTTAAAAAAAAGAATTTTTTTTTTATAAAAAAATAAATAATAAAAAAAAAATATATATATATATATTTTTTTTTTACTGTCACCAGTCAGTGTCCCTGATCACTGCCATGCCAGTTATATGATGACGCTGTACTGCACTGGTGACAGTATGTAAAAAAAAAAAATAGTGAAACAAATTTTTTTAATTTTTTCATTTTCCGAAAAATTATGACAAAAAAAATACAACTTCAAAAAATTCGCCATGCCTCTTATGAAGTACGTCGGACTGTCTACTCTGCAAAAAGGGGTCATTTGGGGGATATCTGTACTGTTCTGACATTCTTGGACCTCAAGAAATTAGATTGGCTGTCAGTACTTCAGGACTGATCAATATTCAGATCTATACCATAGTTTGTGAACTCTATAAACTTTCCTACAAACTAAATAATACATCCTAATTTGGGTTATTTTCACCAAAGACATGTAGCAGAATACATCTTGGCCTAAATTTATGAAGAACAATTATTTATTTGCAAACTTTTATAACAGAAACAAAGAAAAAAAAACGTGTGTTTTTTTTTCAACATTTTTGGTCTTTTTTTGTTAATTTAGCAAAAAATAAAAACCCCAGCAGTGATTAAATACCACCAAAAGAAAGCTCTAGTTGTGTGAAGAAAATGATAAAATTTTAGTTTGGGTACAATGTTGTATGACCGCGCAATAGTCATTCAAAGTGTGAGAGCGCTGAAACCTGAAAACTGGCCTGGGCAGGAAGGGGTAAAATTGCCCGGTATTGAATTGGTTAAAAACTGTGCATTTCGGTTTTCGGGCCAAGTGCATTTTGAATTTTTGGTTTCGGCACCAGAATTTTCATTTCAGGGCACCACTAGCACGGTAGCTCCACTTTTCTTCCTTAGCAGGAGCCAAGTCGGCCCCCAGCCATCCAGATTAGTCTTAGGGGCTTACTTGGGCTTCCAGGAACCAATTCCACCGCCTCTGCCAGGCACCTGCCCCGCAGCCCGTGAAAGGAGATAAACGCTAGCTGTGACAAATAAACTGTGAAAACAAACGTACATGACAGGAACCAAGAATAATAATTTGTCTTTATGTTATTTAGTTATTTATTTTCCAGTGTTATAAACTGCTCTCTGTTTTGTTTTTTTTAATATTTTATTTATTTACTTTTATGACATAAACAACACCACAACAACAAAACCCACGAAAAAATGGGGTGGGAGGATGGGAAATTGTTTCTTCGTGGAAAGGCGCCAAATGAAGGACCAGTATGTCATGGGACTTAATGTGATGCAGGAGTCCCCTCCTCTTCTTTTTCCCTGCCAATAATCTGCCACCACAATCCAAATCACACCCCTTCACCATCCCGCCCTTCTGCCATCACTTGACCCCTTTTTTTACCCCGCAGATTAGTCCGAAGGGACTGTCCCCAGTCAGGCTGCCTGCTGTGCTTATAACACAGGGCATTGCTTTTCAACTGCTCTTAACCACTTGCCCTCCTGAGGATTTACCCCCCTTCCTGACCAGGCCATTTTTTGCATTATGGCGCTGCGTTACTTTGACTGACAATTGCGCGGTCATGCAATGATGCACCTATATGAAATTTACGGCCTTTTTTCCCCACAAATTGAGCTTTCTTTTGGTGGTATTTGATCACGTGTGCGGTTTTTTTTTTGCACTATAAAAATAAAAGGTTGACAATTTTGAAACAAAAAACAATATTTTTGACTTTTTGCTATTAAACATGTTCAGTAAAAAAATGAAAAAAAACAAAAAATTTAGTCATAAATATAGGCCAAAATATATTCTGCTCCATATCTTTGCGAAAAAAAAAAATTCCAAAACGTGTACATTAATTGGTTTACATGAAAGTTATAGCGTTTACAGATGGCGGTATAGATACTGGAATTTTTTTTTTTGTAACAATAATGGCGTTGATCAGCGACTTATAGCGGGACTGCAGTGGGCATTCTGACACTGGGGAGAACTGACATCCCCAGTGACACCAATACAGTAATCGGTGCTAAAAAAAAAGAAATGACACTGGGCTGGAAGGGGTTAACATGAGAGGCGATCAAAGGGTTAACTGTGTGCTGGGAGTTTTTACTGGGGGGCGATGTGTTGGTGCTTCACTGTAAGCGCACTGCTCTGGATGGCTGTGCTATTCACAGACATCCAGAGCAGTGTGCCCGAGCTGACAGGGAGGACAACTGTTAGTAAACAAAGCAGTCCTCCTCCCTGTCGGAGATGCTCGGTAAAAAATGTACCGGGGTAATGCCAGCATTTTGATTGCATCAACTCAGTATAACCACCAAAAGTCATTGCTGGTCTGGAAGAGGTTTTTAACCATTATACTGTGATAGCAGCCTGTGATATGCTGTCAGGGCCTGGACTTGAACCTGGGACTTCTACTGTGTCAGGCAGTAACTCTTCTCACTGAGCTACCTGGGATACTGGACAATGCTCTGCCTGATCTATTGGATAATCCTGCCTTGTGCCTTGATTTCTCTTGAACCTTGAACTCCTTGCTCCTCCCATGAACTTCCTTATAAAAGCCATGTCCATACACTTCCTCCTTGCCTGATTATTGTGCCTTCCCAGCCGATATCCCACTTGCCGTTCCTGCTGTTGTCCACATCTACGTTACCGACCTTTGGCTTGCTACTGACAATGATTCTGCCTCATCCTATCTACTACCATTTGTGACCGACCCTTAGCTTGTGACTGACTCCGCTTCTGTTTGATCCGCTTTTGGTTTCTAGCTTGCCCTGGTGGGGTGATCCTGAGATCTGCGACCTGGTATCAGCAGGCCCAAACATGCTTCCCTGTGCATATTTTTCTCGTTTGATGTCATCAGCTGAATGGAATTATGACATTGGGAATAAGGAGTTGCTGGCAAATAAGGAAGCTTTTTCCAAATGGAGGCATCTGCTGGAAGGGGCTAAGCATCCTGTGACTGTCTTCACTGATCATAAAAATCTAGAATTCATCCGTTCTGCCAAGAGATTGTCTTCTAGACAAGGACGTTGGTCACTGTTCTTTTCCAGGTTCAATTTTATTATCTCATATCGACCTGGGTCAAGAAACGGTAAGGCTGATGCCTTATCATGAATGTCATCTGGGCCTCTCCAGGAGAACAACTCTCGATGCACAATCCTGCCACAAAAGAACTTTCTAGGGGCCATAAGTCCTAAGGCATTCTTGAATGTTCTTAAAGAGGGGTATGAGAATGATCCACTTCTCAATCATCCACCTGAGGACATTAACCTGACTTGCATACAACAATTCTAAACATAGTTCCACTTCTCAAAGCCCCTTTTACTTAACCGTTTCAATACCGGGCAATTTTACACCTTCCTGCCCAGGCCATTTTTCAGGTTTCAGCGCTCTCACACTTTGAATGACAATTGCACGGTCATACAACATTGTACCCAAACTAAAATTTTATCATTTTCTTCACACAACTAGAGCTTTCTTTTGGTGGTATTTAATCACCGCTGGGGTTTTTATTTTTTGCTAATTAACAAAAAAAGACCAAAGATTTTGAAAAAAAAACACATTTTTCTTTGTTTCTGTTAT